TCAAGAAGCTTCTACAGAGCTAACACGTTGATATCCATGCATTTCAAGAAAACCATCTAGAAAACACAACCTGTCTTCCGAAGATAAACGGATGTCGGCGGATTTCTCATCTCGTCCAAGTATCACCCACAAAAAGCCTTGTCATCTACCTGAAACTTGAACTTAGGGATTTTGTTTGAGTCATGTCCATGCATCGCGGCATTCCATCACCGTCGAAACTGGCCACACAACTATGGTAAACATAAACAAGTCAAATCCGTTATTTACCAATTTCCGGTTATTATCCTTGTATTATGCGGAGATGTCATCGTCCAGATTTGACGCTACATCGGCAGTATATTGCTAACAGCTTGCAAATTTGCTTGATGCATGATTCTCCTTAGCAGCTGGCGGCTCGATATTAATGAGCGAAACAGTCTTAACATTGTCTAGTAATGTTGAAATTTTGAACTTATCAGTTGTTGAACGTTAACAGTAAAAATCACTATTTACGCTGGCTTTCTTTCTGTTGAAGGGCAGCAGATCGAATATGAGGAAAACATCATTTAGATTGGTAAGTGTACCCCCCAAATCATGGCTGGTCCTTAAAAGCCTAATAGAATCGTAGCTAAAGTTAATGAATCTAACAGTGATCTATACCACGTGATATTCAATATGTTCTCCCACATAGAAGTTCAATTTTCCTTCACGGAAATCGAGCATTGCTGAAAGGCAATTGCACTTCAGGGGCAAAATGAGGTGTGAGTATTGTGTGACTGCTTAGGGAGCCGTAAAGGTCTGATACAAGCTCCAAATCTATTGGTCCATGAGGCAATGACAGCCGTTGTCCACGGAGCCCTGAGGGCTCTTGAAGAATGGACGCTCTGACTATAACTGGATTGCAAGGATTCAGGGCTACTGTCTACAGTAATCAAAAATTGCTTTGCGACAACGTCTACACTTGGGACAGAGAATGATAACTGTTAGACGTTAAAAATAAGATCCAGCTATCTTTCTGATGTATGCGTCTTGCTTGAGCATCTCAAAACTTACCACTCATTTTGAATAGGCGTAAAAACAAAGCGATACACCACAGTCTTACTGATCATAAATAATTATGAACGACAGATTCATTTTCTTAAAATAATTAATCATGATAAGATCATAAACTATTAAACATCATTACCTGTGGTAATAATTTGTATTTCGCTTAGGTGTATCTTTTTTACCTTCTGTTTTATCCCTTATTATCATATCACTTTTCTGAATATAGGAAAAAAGAAAAAAAATTTCAACCGTTGGAATGCCGATCTTCCGTACTCTTTCATGAGGGGGTCATTTTGTCGTTTTCTGATTCCTGGTGGGGTGTTAATCTCCGTTTCCATGTTATCAGCCAGGAGTGTCTTAGTTTAAAGGCACAGTTGACAACAGAAATTTGGCAAGCATCGAGTGTAGTCTCCCGTTTCTTTCTGACAATGATACTCAGTTACTAATCTCAGACGTCAAAAAGGCTAGTAATCCCAATCGGGCTTGAACTCAGCCCCCTCGGCTTTCAGACTGGCACTCTACCGACCCTGAATACGGTTAGGATAGTGGAACCGTGCTAAGCTAGTCATCCGAACTGAAGATAGCTACGCCAAATGCGACGCTTGCCGCCTTGAAACGCTAGATTGTTTGGGCTATAACTGCAGAATTATTAACGGTGGCGCACATCCTGATTTTGCATTAAATCGTCTAAATTAATAATCTCGAAAAAAATTTAAGTTTAAACTTGTTTTAATTTACAAATGCAAGTGAACTTTTTAAAACTATTACCTTTATTTCTTGAAGACTTCCTCTCAAAAAAGACACTCATCACATCGAAAAGTAGAGAGTGACGCATGATGCTTTATTGAACAGTTAATAAGAGTTTTTAAAATTTGACTTAGGATTATGATAAAATATAATGTTGAATTTGTTGTTTGAAAATTCAACGTCAATTTCTATACCACAGACTGCGTACACCTTCAAAATACAGGGTCGAGTGCCGAAAGAACTGACCGGTGGGAAGAAGGTTCTTTGCCAGTGAACATTGGATTAATCGGCTAGGGAGACAGCGTTAATTGTAACTTAATATTATCCCTCCTAATGTTTTTAAGGCAACCCCTCAAGGGAATGAAAAGTTTGGTCCCAGAACTTCGATAAAATAAGAAATTCGGTTTGGGCTCAAAACAAAAAACGTTTTCGCCGCATCTTCATCTTCCATCGCCGCTTCCCCTTTCGGGTCGCGGAGGCAGACACGTCAGACAGA